TTTGTGATATAGGCCAATATTTGTATTGTCTATATTTCTCAGCTATATAAACTGAAATAGAGAGAATCGTAGTCCTTAATGATTTGTTGAAACCATCTCCTTTTCTCTCTATCCACGTCTATCTGTATTTTCTACTGGAGAGATAAGCACAATGTCTGCTCATAAAAGGTGTTAGTTCATGTTGAACTTAATTTAACATTTAAATTTATTTTTCTATATTCTAGACTTATCCTGTTTTAAATAATAATTTGTAACAACTAAACCTTATTCATTTTATTTAGATATTTTTAATCTAATTGGAATCAAAGGTGATAAAAACATAATTTTTTGCCTAGGAAATTAATTCTCAAATCTTTCTCAAATAACAACTATTTAATTATACACATCATACATTCATGAATAGTCATTAGCAAAAACCAAACCAAACAAAAAAAAAAAAACACTGAATCTGGGAAAGACTTATTGACTTAAAACTAGAAAATTGAATTAAAAGATCTAATATATTACTGATATAAGTAAATGTTTAAAAATATATTCAAATTAACCACTTATGTATTATACATATTTTTAAGTTTCCTGAATACATCATGATATTCAGAATTGCAAATATGAAATCTATTTTATCTGATTCCTTGCAATCAAATGTAACTACTGAGATTCTATGTGGAATGTGCCCCACATTGCTGACGGACCAAGAACTTCAGCTTAGAGCTGGCTGCTCACTAAGTGAAGGCACAGCTATCTCCACAAAAAGCGCATCTTTAAAGTATTAATAATCACTCTTAGATCTTTCTTAAAACTCAAACCTTTTTTTAATTGAAATTCACACCTCAAGAGGCAACCTCTCATATCAATACAGTAGATGTTATTTGTTCTTTTGAAAGCCATACCTTCCTCTCAGCTTCTTAATTGTCTTACTTGCCTGGCACCTTTTCCAGAAGACTGAACCAAAAACAATAGAAATGAGGCTCAAATCAGTGAGATTTCTATTCATTCTTAAATATGGGAAAGAATTACTTATAGGAGAGTAATTTTAATCACTGGCCCTGTTTCATGAATTGTCTCTGTGGATCAAGTTATCCTTTATAAGCAGAGATAAGACATATTTGACTTTACTGTGACACATACACAAGTACCTTACACTTCAGTACACTGCAATCGAACACAAAAAATAATTGTGAAATAGTGCAAGTCACAAAAAGCCAAGAATCAGTAACAGTAAAGTTAGTATCAACTAGCAGCATAAAGTCCCTGATCTGGATAATCTCACAAGTCTGTTTGCTAAGGTTAAAAAAAGGAAGAAAGGCATTGAAGGAAAGAAATAAATTGAAGGAAAGAAGGCATTGAAGGAAGAAAGAAATAAAAAAACTCATAGAGATGTGTAATTTCAATGCCTTAAGGTATTAATGGAGCAGTAACTTTTCTAAGCTTTTAACAGTTCATAATGAATCAACTCACACTCAATACAAAGCATCTTAGCTATAGAACCACTGCACTTACCCATGATGGTTAGGGCTGTAGCTTTTGTTAATTCTTCTTTCATTGATTCTATTACTTCTAAATTACCACCATCCAGGTTGCATCTATTTATGGTTCCATTTCCTGAACTGATCCAATAAAGCTTGTTGTCCACATAGTCTATTGATAGACCTGTAATTAAATTATACAACTTAAACATAACAGTAGCCACTTAGATTGTAATGTTCACCTCACACTGGATTTGAAGGGAAAAGTAGTAAGTTGTGAGCTCAGACTTTTGTCTTTAAAAATAAGATCTGGTTAATAGGTAAGTACACATATACTGTTTTAACTACCCATGAAACTATATACTTTTATAGGCACTTAACAGTTATCTATGTTATCACAACTATGCTGTGACTCTGAAAGAAATGACTGTTCCATTTAATGGCTAAGAAAAATAATATATAGAATAATTACATTGATTTGAGTCCATAGCAAATAAATGGACATTGCAGAAATTTTAAGAAAGTCTCTGTTTCCAAATTCAGTGCCTGCCCTCTTCATTACAGCACTTTGACTCAGAAAGTTTAAATACATAATACTCATTTGTGATACTAATTTCATTGATGAAATTTATAATTCCTCCTCTACTTTCAGGAAAATGTAACTTAGGTTAATTATCAATTGAAATTGGTGGTTTCAACTCTTTTCAAGAAACCTAATGTTAGAAAAGTTTCAACAAATAGTAATTTCACTAAAACACAGAATTGAATTGGTTTCATTTCAGGGCTGCCATGGGAAGATATCCCATTCATCAAGTAGGTGAACCAACATAATGGCGCAAGACCATGTTCCACACGAGACGCAGTGTATCACTGTAGGTTAGTGTTATTGTATTTTATGGACAATTTCATACATTATAATGGTATCGTGTTTTTTTAAAGATTTTAGGACATGTACATTTTGACTGCCAAAAGTTCTCAGTACACAACTCCTTAACCACTGGCATGCCTAGTAGGCTCAGGGTCCACATTGTAACAGTCATTTGGTGGCTCTGTGCTGGTCTTTTGTGACCCACAACCAGTTGTGAGAGAGCACATGTGGACATATACTCAGGCACACAATATAATTAACTATTTCTGGGATCTCCCTTAGAGAAACCTTCAGCCTTATATTTTCCATGAGGATATATATATATATATACTCCCTAAAAGGTCAATGACATTCTTTGAAATGTTATGACATATTTTTAACACATTTCCTCTAATTTATTAGGTTCCTTGAATATATGCTTTGTTAGTTTGGGTTTATTTTATAAACTATATTGGAATTCAATTTCTGAAAATATAACATGGGTGGTGATCTGGGAATTGTTGCAGATAACCTAAACAGTTTCAGAATATAAATGCTGCTATTTTTAGTCAGGGAATTTAAAATATGTACAAACACACATAAAACAAAATTTTCTCATTATTTTGGCAAAGGTGGGTAATACAAAATTATCTTATTTTTCTTATTGCCTTATAAGACAATTGTAAATAAATTACTGTTCTAAAATAACCTATTTGCAAGGTATAACTCTCTTCTCTGTGTGTGTATATGTATGTATTTAATCAAAATACATGTATCTTCTTATCACATACAATGACAAAAATGGCAACATAATGTTCTGCAAGAAGCACAAGAATTGTGCAAAACTAGCAAGAAAATTGGAAAATTTTACAAGATTGTTTTTTACAAGTTTAAATTCCTCCTTTGGAGAAAAATGCTTTAAAAAAAACACTAATTCTAAGAAACAATTAGAAAAAAGTATGGTAAAAATGATAGCAGGAAGACAGCGACTTAGAAACAACACTGTAGCAAAAGAAAACCATGAAACATGTGGTTCAGTATTACATCAGAAACCTGAAAATGCCCAATGTAAAATCAGACAGTGTGGTAAGGATCAAATAAGTGATACAAGTGACACATGATGTTTATATATAACTCTACTTTTTCAAAAGTGCATTCACATACATCTCCATGTGATTCTCACAACTTTGTGATATAGGCCAATATTTGTATTGTCTATATTTCTCAGCTATATAAACTGAAATAGAGAGAATCGTAGTCCTTAATGATTTGTTGAAACCATCTCCTTTTCTCTCTATCCACGTCTATCTGTATTTTCTACTGGAGAGATAAGCACAATGTCTGCTCATAAAAGGTGTTAGTTCATGTTGAACTTAATTTAACATTTAAATTTATTTTTCTATATTCTAGACTTATCCTGTTTTAAATAATAATTTGTAACAACTAAACCTTATTCATTTTATTTAGATATTTTTAATCTAATTGGAATCAAAGGTGATAAAAACATAATTTTTTGCCTAGGAAATTAATTCTCAAATCTTTCTCAAATAACAACTATTTAATTATACACATCATACATTCATGAATAGTCATTAGCAAAAACCAAACCAAACAAAAAAAAAAAAACACTGAATCTGGGAAAGACTTATTGACTTAAAACTAGAAAATTGAATTAAAAGATCTAATATATTACTGATATAAGTAAATGTTTAAAAATATATTCAAATTAACCATTTATGTATTATACATATTTTTAAGTTCCCTGAATACATCATGATATTCAGAATTGCAAATATGAAATCTATTTTATCTGATTCCTTGCAATCAAATGTAACTACTGAGATTCTATGTGGAATGTGCCCCACATTGCTGACCGACCAAGAACTTCAGCTTAGAGCTGGCTGCTCACTAAGTGAAGGCACAGCTATCTCCACAAAAAGCGCATCTTTAAAGTATTAATAATCACTCTTAGATCTTTCTTAAAACTCAAACCTTTTTTTAATTGAAATTCACACCTCAAGAGGCAACCTCTCATATCAATACAGTAGATGTTATTTGTTCTTTTGAAAGCCATACCTTCCTCTCAGCTTCTTAATTGTCTTACTTGCCTGGCACCTTTTCCAGAAGACTGAACCAAAAACAATAGAAATGAGGCTCAAATCAGTGAGATTTCTATTCATTCTTAAATATGGGAAAGAATTACTTGTAGGAGAGTAATTTTAATCACTGGCCCTGTTTCATGAATTGTCTCTGTGGATCAAGTTATCCTTTATAAGCAGAGATAAGACATATTTGACTTTACTGTGACACATACACAAGTACCTTACACTTCAGTACACTGCAATCGAACACAAAAAATAATTGTGAAATAGTGCAAGTCACAAAAAGCCAAGAATCAGTAACAGTAAAGTTAGTATCAACTAGCAGCATAAAGTCCCTGATCTGGATAATCTCACAAGTCTGTTTGCTAAGGTTAAAAAAAGGAAGAAAGGCATTGAAGGAAAGAAATAAATTGAAGGAAAGAAGGCATTGAAGGAAGAAAGAAATAAAAAAACTCATAGAGATGTGTAATTTCAATGCCTTTCTGGTATTAATGGAGCAGTAACTTTTCTAAGCTTTTAACAGTTCATAATGAATCAACTCACACTCAATACAAAGCATCTTAGCTATAGAACCACTGCACTTACCCATGATGGTTAGGGCTGTAGCTTTTGTTAATTCTTCTTTCATTGATTCTATTACTTCTAAATTACCACCATCCAGGTTGCATCTATTTATGGTTCCATTTCCTGAACTGATCCAATAAAGCTTGTTGTCCACATAGTCTATTGATAGACCTGTAATTAAATTATACAACTTAAACATAACAGTAGCCACTTAGATTGTAATGTTCACCTCACACTGGATTTGAAGGGAAAAGTAGTAAGTTGTGAGCTCAGACTTTTGTCTTTAAAAATAAGATCTGGTTAATAGGTAAGTACACATATACTGTTTTAACTACCCATGAAACTATATACTTTTATAGGCACTTAACAGTTATCTATGTTATCACAACTATGCTGTGACTCTGAAAGAAATGACTGTTCCATTTAATGGCTAAGAAAAATAATATATAGAATAATTACATTGATTTGAGTCCATAGCAAATAAATGGACATTGCAGAAATTTTAAGAAAGTCTCTGTTTCCAAATTCAGTGCCTGCCCTCTTCATTACAGCACTTTGACTCAGAAAGTTTAAATACATAATACTCATTTGTGATACTAATTTCATTGATGAAATTTATAATTCCTCCTCTACTTTCAGGAAAATGTAACTTAGGTTAATTATCAATTGAAATTGGTGGTTTCAACTCTTTTCAAGAAACCTAATGTTAGAAAAGTTTCAACAATTAGTAATTTCACTAAAACACAGAATTGAATTGGTTTCATTTCAGGGCTGCCATGGGAAGATATCCCATTCATCAAGTAGGTGAACCAACATCATGGCGCAAGACCATGTTCCACACGAGACGCAGTGTATCACTGTAGGTTAGTGTTATTGTATTTTATGGACAATTTCATACATTATAATGGTATCGTGTTTTTTTAAAGATTTTAGGACATGTACATTTTGACTGCCAAAAGTTCTCAGTACACAACTCCTTAACCACTGGCATGCCTAGTAGGCTCACGGTCCACATTGTAACAGTCATTTGGTGGCTCTGCTGGTCTTTTGTGACCCACAACCAGTTGTGAGAGAGCACATGTGGACATATACTCAGGCACACAATATAATTAACTATTTCTGGGATCTCCCTTAGAGAAACCTTCAAAAAAATCCCTTTTCTATTAGAAAAAATATCTAAGATGAAAAAGGAAGGGAAGAAAGAAGAGAAGATGATTGGAGGGAATCACATATATGAGTTCAAGAAATGATTAAATATAGCCCAACTATTCTCAACTACAGAGAGTTCCAGTCAAGACTGGAATTGACTTATCAAACTGGTTTTAATCAATTAGAAATAATACAAGTCTATATAATATATCAGCTATTTACTAATTTATTGGTATGTTTTGCTTATAGAAGTCTGGAAATTTCACCAGAAAAACCACAATACATATAATTAGACACTGCAGGGATTAAGTTTTTGGATTTTACTTTGAGTATTGCTGTCAATGATTAGCTTTAAAAACTATGCAAAAATAATCCAATAAAAACTATCACAATCATATTCTGATATTCTGTGCTGAATATTCTCAGGGTTATCTACAATTTAGGTACTTTCTAAGCCACATCCATGGATCTTTTCTATTATAAATAAGTCCTTCCTGGTTTAGACCACTTAATTCAGGCCAACTTTCAGAAGTTGCTTAGTTGACTATCTAAATCATATAATTACATCTTTAGTCACCAATGAAAAATATCTTTACTACAGGTTTGTGGTACAAAATATAACCCCACACTTTCTGTTGTCCAGCTGTCATAAAGAATTGGATTAAATATGTTTATGAAGAATTCCCTTTAAGAAAAATTCTCAATCCCTTTAGGTATTCCAAATTTTATTTCTCAATCAAGCCAAACCATCAGAGAGCTCTCTGCATTTGTAATTAACAGGGCTTTTGTCTCTCTCTGAATCTCCTGCTAAATTGAGCTTTGGCATTGTGCCCTTGTTTTAAATGAAGGATGCTATAAGAAGTAGCCACAGGAAACCCACTGTTACATTTCCCAGGATAGAGTGACTGAAATAATCCATCACGCAGTGACCTCTTTATACAAGGACCCATGGGAGAAATTTCTTTCAGGGCTCAGTGCCAGAAAAAGCTATAATGTGGAAAATATAAAATTGTAACTGATCATATTTCTCTTTGCTTTGGATGGAAAGAAACTGAAGAGTCAGATTTGTGACCCATCTCAAGCAATTGTAAAGAAATTGCATGTACACTACTGCCTTCACTTCTGGCTTTAATAGACTAATCTATTATTTTCTTTTACCTTGATTTTTAAAATTAGTATTTTTGTCCAGCCTTTCTTAAGGTAATGAATTTGCTTAAGTTTCCTCCACCCCTCTTTGGAAAGAGAAAGCACATTAATACCAAATGTGCCCAACTCCAAATCAACCTACACTGCCAGAAGTTTCTCATCCATCTAGCACCCAGTTTCTAGACTCTAATTTAGTCCGTGTAAAAGAGCTGTTATACAGAGTAGGGAAGTTACAGGGTTTGGGTCAGAGTTCCTCAGAATTTACTCCTCAACATCTTTATTTCTGGACTGTGAATTCCAAGAGAAAAGGAACTGTGCCACAGGGAGCTATTTATCTTCAGTGCCTATCTTGATGCCTAGAGCAGAGAAGAAAATTCATAAACACTGAATGAATGGGTTACTTAATTAACTCCATTATGAAAATTATAAGTTGCCTCCACAGAGTTCTGTCTATTAAAGTTGAATAATCCCCACAACAGAATTTTTTAATATACTACTTATATGCAGATACTATACAACAGAAAGCAAGAGCAGTGATTCAATAGGTCTACTTGGTCTGGCTTAGGTTTTCACATCAATATTAAGATGGGTTCTTTAGTATTAATAGTTTAAAGATTCAGAGGAAAAAAATTAATTCCCTATATTAACCTCTATATGCATGTGATACATCACTTAGACACCTACATATGTCTTCTGCCCTGTTAATTAGATTATTAGTTTAACCCCTGAATGTTCTTGAGCATCTTCATTCCCAGATTTATTAAACAGAATTGAAGTCTTTAAAAAAATCCTATTATGAATTCAAGAAACTGGTGATATGTGTTTTAAATTCATTGATATATGTGTATTTAGAAGCACATATTTTAAAAGTTTATTAATGAAAATGCTTTCACACGTTTTTATTTCACTATACACTTAGATCTTAATAACACTGAAGAATTAATTAATTGCTTAATTTATTACTTCATTCAAGTATTTAGATTTAAACAGTCTACCTTATTTTTTAATTGACACAATGTAATTTGCCAAAATTATATAATTGCTCTCATAATAGAAATAATGTACACATTGACAGAAGAAACAACTATATATTAAATACTAAAATCTAACTACATTTCCCACATATTACTAAAAAATTAAGTCCATTAAGTTTTAAATGTTTTTACAATTAAGACTAGAAAGTTCACCTATGTGTCTCATTTCTTTTCTTTTTTTCAATGACTTGAAATTAAATCAATGATATGTCAATATATTGCTAGGCAATATGGAATTAAAACAAAAATGTGAAAGTGTAGAAGAAAAGGAATTTTAAAAATTAAGGCCTTCTATGATTATATGGAAAGCTAATAGAAATGCTGACCTGTGGGTCTCACTCCCAGAACTTTTAATTTAACTGTTCTAAATTGGTTTTAAATTGGTCCTAAATTGGTTCCAAGCATCATTATTTTTTAAAAACCAAATCTCTCCACTTGATTTCAGAATACAAAATTTAAGAACATCTTTTAAATATTGCTTAATTTTTATTAAAATTTTAAATATTAATATTTAATAAGTTCAAAATGGCCTTTTAAATCTTGATGGAAAGTGTGTCATGCTTAGATATTTGGAGACAGAAGAATATGATAGATGTAGATTGGGAAGAGGACATATTATTGATACTAAAATATAGATGATTAACTCCAAGGCTTCTAGACATATGTAATAAATAATACTGAAATTTCTAAATATTCTTTTTGTAATGTTATCATCAGACAATAGAATGAAACTCCTTCTGCTTCTGGGACTGTGAAAGTTGTAGAAACTGGCAATGAAAAACACAAAATATGGAAAAAATACTATGAGAAATGGCTAAAATTAAAAATAGTGACAACACTAAGTGTTGCCGAGTATGCAGGGAAAAGCTGGATCACTGATACATAACTGTTGGTGGGGATTTAAAATGGTAAGGCCACTGGAAAATGACTGGGCAGTTTCTTATACAACTAAGCATACTATTACCGTAGGACCTAGCAATTGCAATCCTGGGAATTTATCCCAGAGAAATGAAAACGTGTTCACACAAAAACTTGTACATGACTGCTTATAGAAGCTTTATTTGTAGTAGTTAAAAATTGGAGTCATCCCATCTCCTTTAACAGGAGAATTATTTAGTAAATGGTGGTGCATACATATCATGATGTACTACTCAGCAATAAAATGGGGAAAAAAATCTATTGATTCCTACAACAACCTTGATGACTTTCCAAGAATATATGTTGAGTGGGAAAAAGGCAATCCAAAAGATACCATACTGTATGATTCCACTTACATAAAATTTTAAAAATATAAAATATGCTGCTTTGGCTTAAAGATTATTTTGAGTTGAGCACAATTGGGAAACAACAGACACCAAAAAAAGTTCTCTGCTTTCTCTTTTGCTAAAACCAGTTAGCCTCTTAATCACCAGAGACAAGAGTAGACTCCTTTCAGCCCAGAGATGACCCTGAGAGGAATCTACATAACAAACCTTATTAAAACTTCTATCTTCCATCAGTTTCCCTCATGTTTTTACCTTCCCATACTTTGTCTCTCTTGAAAATCTAAAACCTTTCTCCTTTGCATTTTGTCATATCTCTACAAATTTACTGTTCTCTATTAGATGCATGTAAGTCCAAGTCCTAACCACTCCTTTGAGTTACTCATCAATGAATTTCTCTCCTGTGTATGTGTGCTACTTGTGTTTATAGACTGTTTTTCTAGTTAAATTGTCTTTCACAGTCTAATTTCCAGGGATCCAGCCAGAGAACTCAGAAGTAGAGGGAAAAGGTTTGTTTTCCTCCACAACAAGTATCTACACCACCCTTATGTTAACCTGACTTAAATTTTTCCTTGAAATC